ACTATACAATCAGAATGTTTAAGGAGCCAACTCCTCTATTATGTATGTAGTAGTAAAAAAATCAATACATATATTAAATTTGATTACACACATTTATAGAATATATTAACGCTCAGTCAAGGAGAAAAAAAAATGTAACAAAACAAGTAATGAAAAAGATTCTCTAAATACACAATGATGTAGGGATGGCAGTGCCAAAAAGAATGGAAGCATGAACAAAGGGATGATACAGCTATACATTTTTTCTATGTTCTTTCCTCACTGTATGTTCCTCAAGTCCCAAGAAATTGTGATTATGAACAGTGATGATGAATGTATAGTATAATATCAATATCTAAGGTCATTCTACAAGTGCAATGAAGAAACTGATATGATATTAACAGTATATATTACCACTGAATTATAAAAATAAAACAAATGTTCACTTATCAACCTAATTCAATGAACTTGTTTTAAAAAAAATGAGTAGAAACAAGTAATAAAAAATTTTGCAAAAAATTAGGTAAGATGTAAGGATGGCAATACCAAAAAGTATACAAACAAGGTAGGGATGAATACACAAAACAATACAAAAATCACTATATAATTTGCCAAATCTTTCCAGGAATAACTTTTATCTACAAGTACAAACTAAATGAATTCAGGTTTGAATAAAAGCATTTAAAATGAATAGTGCTATACACTCTTACAGTGGCTAATAACCATGAACTGTAAAATCGACACAGTACTTGTTTGTTACTATGTAGGAATTTTTGTATGGTTTTGTGTATTCATTCCTACTTCATACTTAATTTTTGAAAATTTTTTCTATTACTTACTATATTAACAACTAGCTGGAGTACCCAAGTTATGTAAATTAATGATTGATGAAAGGTTATCTTAGGATATGAAAAGTCACTTCCTTTATATGTAATTGTTAAAAATGCCCATAAAAACTGTAAAACATAAAATGTGAAACTGCAAATTTGCATGTATCTCAGCATGAACCCAACAAACCTTCATGCCAAATTTAGTGAAGGTCCATCAACAGGGGGTGAAGTAATAGTAAAATGTGCAAACACGTAATGCAAAGTTCAGAACTATTCAAACGAAGGCTTAATTTGTAGCACTAGGATCACTCATCACAAAAGTCGAAACTCAAAAGCTTAAAAGTTAAAAATTAAAAGATAATCCGTGAGTGGCAGGACGGTCTGTGAAATATATTTAAATGAAAATGTGTTATTAATCTTAACTAAACACACAAAACAAATGTAGGTAATGATGTACCTGAGGATAGATCTCATTTACTAATGTTTCAAAAGAAACATCCTTCCAAATTTTAACACTCGAACTTTCCATTCTCTCATGAACAACAAACGCTAACACTAGTACCACTAGTAACAGCCTCTGCGAGAAATAGACAACTAATTAAAAATATAACAAAACTATAAAGAATTTAAAAGTAAAATATTTTTCTCTCTCTATATTTTTTATCAGATGTTTTCCATATATCAAGTTGTACGTAGAAAATTATATTCCTAATATATATAGTAAAAATAAAGTCAATCAGCTCAATTTAAGTAACTCGTTAAAATGTACTGTTGAAATATTGTTACGACAGCGGAAGTCACGCGACGCTGGGAGCATGCGCGTTGGAGTTTCTAGAACGATCGTGACTTAGTAAGCAACCTCACGAATGCCCCAGCGTTTGCTAGACGCCCTCTATTTTAGTAAATTAGCCGAAGATAGATTGAAGAGAAATATTTGAGATAATTGAGTCAAGCGAGTGGTAGGCACCGTAAGTAAAATGTGTGAATCTCTGTGAATTATAGCGTGTGCTTATAAAAGTAGTTAAGTTTAAAGTGACTGTGGAAAATAAATGTATTACA